AGGACTTCCTTTTTGTGGTAAAATATACATATAATGTAAAACTTACCATTCGAACCACTTTAAGTGTACAGTTCAGTAGCATTAAGCACATTGACATTGGTGTGCCACCATCACCATCATCTTATCTCCACAGCCTTTTCGTCGTCTTAAACTTAAATTTCATATCCATTGTGCAACAGATGCCCAGTCTTCCTTCTTTCAGCAGCTGGCAACCATTGTTCTACTTCTCGTGTCTATGGATTTGACTACTGGAGATATAGTGGGATCATACAGTATTTATTTTTCTGGTACTGGCTCATTTCACTTAATATAATACCTTTTTTTTTGAGAGGTTTTTGCTATAGGGCATGTGTGCTTGCCAGACAGACAGAGACAGAGAGACAGAAAGCAAGAAATCACTCCCCAAGGGGGATCTTGGGCATGCATGCACGCACACGCGCCTGGTGTGAGTTTAAGCTACCGGTTCTGGGACTTGAACCGTGGTTGACTACATGGGAGTCCAGCAACATAGCCATTATGCCAACTGCTGGTCTCGACTTAATATAATATCCTAAAGGCTCAACCATGTTGTATATGTCAGAATTTTCTCCCTTTTTACATCAGAATAATATCCTACTGTATGTATGTATCATATTTTTTGTCTGTTCATGCTTTTATGCATACTGTCTGTTTCTGTCTAATGCAGATAATGTTGCAGTAACCGTGGGTATACACATATTTGCTTAAGTCTCATTTTCAGTTCTTTTGGGTAATGTAAAAAATGTAATTGCTGAATCATTTGGTAATTCTCTTTAATTTTTTGAGTAACTACCATACCATTTTCGACAGTAGCCATACCATTTTACATTCCTGTTGATTTACAAGAGTTCCAGTCTCTCCATCATCCTTGTCAATACTTTTATTTCCCCACTGTTTTTTTTTTTTTGGATAATAGATATCCTAATGGGTTTAAAGATGTATCTGGTGGTTATAATTTGTGAGGGGAAACTTTGAGGTCCCTTAATCCTGTGATTTCACAGATAAAACTAAGTACTATAAGTTAGCTAGGGCTACTAGTTAGAAGAGTTCACATTTTATTATGTAAGTAATTTTATTTATTGTTCGTAAAAATTTTGCCATAGGGCACATGTACTTGCTAGAGAGACACATGCAGAGAGAGGGAAAGTGAGAAAGCACCCCTCAGTGGGATGACCATGTCATAGCTTTCTCCATTTTTCTTTCAGGATTAGGGCATGTACACACACGGGCTTTGGTGTGTTTTTCAAACCTGAGACTGGGATTTGAACTATGCAGTCAGCCATGTGGGATCCAGCTGCCTTAACCACTGTGTCACTGTTATGTAAATCGTTTTTTTAATTATTTAACATTATTATTACTTTTTTTTTTTTTGAGAGGCTTTTGCTAGAGGGCGCATGCACTCACCAGAAAAAGAGAGACAGAAAGTGAGAAATCCCCCCCCAGGAAAACTGGCCACTTCGCAATCCCTTCTCCTCCATTCTCCTCTCGGGATCTTGGGCATGCATGCACATGCACCTGGCATGAGTTTAAGCCACCAGGTCAGGACTCAAACCGCGGTTCACTACATGGGATTCCAGTGACATAGCCATTACGAATTATTGATATTTTCCAGTTTGATCAGAGAGAGAGTATGAGAGAGAGGGGTGGGGGGGAGTAAGAAAGCAAGCCACCAGGTCTGAGACTTGAACCATGGTCGGCCATGTGGGAGTTCAGCGCCTTTAATCACCACGCTAGCTGCCCGCCCCCAGTGTGAATCATTTGAATCATTAGTATTTGTTTTATTAGTAGTTGGCTTACAAACACATTTTTTACCCGTTGTTGATCTATTTCTGACAAGCCATAACCAGTCAAATATGTATTGGGTCTGTGGGAAAGTCATGATACATTTTTGCGTGGAAAAACATAGAAAAATCCATCATGACTTTTGCAATGACCTGATATTTTCGCGTGGAAGAAAACGTGTCTGTTTTATTTTTGCAGTTTTATTGGCATATTTAACAACAAATCAGTCTAAAGTTTGGGCAGTGAATGGTTTCTCAGCTTAACATGCATATTTGTACACATCCAAACAGAATGAAACACTGAGATTTATCGTTTTCATGAATAGTGATTTTTTTTGGACAGTTTTAGTATCTTCCCTCCTTTATTTTCAATTTTTATAACAACTCAGTCTAAAAATATTTTCCTACTTTATTTTGAAACTTACTGGCTAGCTGTACTCATGAAATAATTGTATTCATTTTTCGAACTTACTTTCTGTGGCATCTATGTTTTACATAGTTCTTGGCAAGTTCCTATTGGATCTGGTAGACTCATTAGCTGAAATGATGTGACCACTTTGAAAAAACAAACAAACAAACAAAAAACAATATAGAGGAATATGCCAACAGTGCTAGCAGATGAAATGAGTGCTAAACTCAGGTACCTTTAAGATCTGAGAAAGCCTGTACGCATACCTTGTACACATGTTCTTGGCAGTTTGCTCACAACTTCTTTTCATCCCCTCCCCCCCTTTTTTTTTGAGAGGTTTTTGCTATAGGGCGCAGACGCTCGCCAGACAGACAGAGACAGAAAATGAAAAATCACCCCCTAGGGGTGATGGCCACGCCGCAATCCCTTCTCTTCCATTGTTCCCTTGGGGTCTTGGGCAAACACGCACACATGCCTGGCGTGAGTTTTAAGGCACCGGGTCCAGGATGCGAACCGTGGTCAACTACATGGGATTCCAGCGACATAGCCATTACGCTAACTGCTGGTTCATTCCTATGTTGGCATATGTTAATTGAGTATGTGTTCTGTGTGGGGTATTGTGCCTGACACTATAGGTATAGAGATGAAGAAAATAGTCTCTTCCCTTAAGGAGTTGATAGCTTAGAAGGGGATACTAACATATAAACAAAATTCTAATGTTAAATACAATTAGTAGTCTAAATATCTTTTTAAAAACCCAGAGATCTGGCAGAGGATAAAAATAATCAATTCTTGGGTATTGTAGGAAGATCAGAGAAGGATTCCTTTGGATAATATCTGAGGTAGACTTTGAAGGTAGAATATGAGATTTTCAGAATAGGGTGAATATTACGTAATGAGATCCCTACAGGATGTAGGGCAGGTATAAATACATTAAATGACATGGTATGGTGAAGAAACTATAAGCAGATAATTAATGGTGGGCAAAAAATATGAGGATAGATAGTTGAGAGCTATATTTTCCCTCATTGTTGCATCTTGCCTGAAAAGGCAAACTGAAGGATTAAGAAATGATAGAAGCAAAGACTAAATTTGAATACTATCTCTGGGATTAAATACGACACTACCATTTGCATTGTATTTCTGTATCCGACATGTGTGGCTCTCCCCTTTTTCCCCTTTCTAATTCTCATTTCCTCCTTTCTTGCCCTACTTGTGCACGGGTGTGTGTGTGTGTAGAGGGTAGGATAATTAATTAAAAATAAGATCAAGACCTTGTTTTTGGTTGTGGCTCTCATAAGATAAGTTGGTTGGCAAATCATCTTAATCTTCTGACCTTTGGTCTCTTTTGTATAATATGTGCAAAACTATGTGGTTGAAATTTTTTTTTTTTTTTTTTTAGGAGAGATTTTCACTGTAGGGCGCGTGCGCTCGCCAGACAGACAGAGAGAGACACAGAGACAGAAAGCGAGAAATCACCCCCCAGGGGGGATGGTCACGCTGCAATCCCTTCTCCTCCATTCTCCTCTCGGGATCTTGGGCACGCACGCACACGCGCCCGACGTGAGTTTTAAGCCACCGGGTCCGGGACACGAACCGCGGTTGACTACGTGGGAGTCCAGCGACATAGCCATTACGCTAACTGCTGGTTCCCGTGGTTGAAATTTTTCAAAATATTTTTTCAGAGGGTCACATTTTCTGAGTGCCTGAACTTGGAATGTGCTTAGTATATGTTTTCAAATGAATGGTGTGAGGATTTATATCAAGAAGTAAGAGATTAAATAGTTAAAAATTATGACGGGATAAGCAATAAGAGATGTATGTACAGACCATTGCTTCTCAGGGTGCAGTAATTTTATAAAAATGTTCAAGCCATTTTTTTTTTTTTAATTTTCTACTTACAATTTAGGTTTTTGAGGTCTGGAGTACAGAAACTACAGTATTTAAAATTCTTTTAGATTTGAATATCATATGATATAAACATGTAGTATGTCATACTATGTAATTATTATATATGTTCAATGAATTAATATATATTTAAAATGCTCTATAAGTGTATTATAAATGTATTTGATTGGCCATTTCCTTTTTTAATTTGGCTGTGGTAGAAGTTCTTGGACTTGATTTTTTCAACTCGTGTGTGTGTGTGTGTGTGTGTGTGTGTGTGTGTGTGTGTGTATTTAAAGTTTTTGCCATAGGATACATGCACTTGATAGAGACAGAGAGAGAGAGAAAGTGAGAAATTACCCCCTAGCAGGATGGCCATGCCACAATCCTGTTTCTTGGGATTTTGGGGCACACATGCACATTTGCACCATATGATTTTCAAGCCATTGAGTCCAGGACTTAAACCATGGTGGGAGTCCAGCACCTTAACCACCATCCCACCTGACAGCTCGCGTATTTTTAATAATCTAATTATAAGTGATCTTTTTTTCTTATATAAACATTTGTTTTCTCAGTTGAAAACTAGCGTTTTTTACTGATGCTACATTTTCACTTTTTTAAAAAGAATTATTTTATTTAACCTTATTTATTTTTAATTTGAGCAGAAAGGGACAGAGTGGGAGCGGGGGGAGAATGAGAAAGCAAGCCCCCAGGTCTGGACTCAAACTGTGGTTAGCCATGTGGGAGCCCAGCACTCCCAACCACCGTGCCACCTGCCAGTCCCCCACTTTCACTTTTGTCCTTTCAAAATGTTTGCTTTTGGAGCAGAGAAGTATAAAAATCCATTTTAATATTATAGGGTTACTGAAATACACTGTTAATAGTATTTATTTCTTTATCCTTAGGGGTCTTATTGGGCAATAGACACCAATCCGAAGGAAGATGCGCTGCCTACTCGGCCAAAGAAGAGGGCACGATCGGTAGAGCGGGTAAATAAGCTCTTTTTATAAATTTAGTAGGATGGGTTGAATATGTCAGAAATAAAGGTTTTTAAAGTTCATTTTCAATAAAGTAAGTATGATGAAGGTATGATTTTATTTGTAAAATTTTACTTACCTTAATCTGAAATGCTTGGGACCAGAAGTGTTTCAGAGTGGCATTTTTTGAGAGGAGGGCAGGGGATATTTGCCCTACGTAATGAGATATCTTGGCGAGGTGACCCAAGTCTAATCACAAGATTGATTTCTGTTTCGTGTCCACCTTATACATACGGCGTGCAGGTAGTTTTATACGGTGTTTTTGTATTGTAGTGTTTTGTCTGTAACTCGTCACGTGAGATCAGGTGTGGCATCATGTTGGCAGTCAGAAAAGTTTCAGATTTTGGAGCATCTTGTATCTTGTTTTAGATTAGGGATGCACAACATATATAGCATTTTATATTTTTCAAAACACATTTCATTTTTAATTTGTAGTTAACTTTTTGAGTGAGGTGAACAATTTAGGAATTCATTTAAAAGTTTCATCATCATTAGGGTACAGCTCTTGTTTGATATTTAAATCTAGGTCTCTTGAATGTTAACATCGTGCTCTTTCCTCTGCATTTGCACCATCAAGGGCTGGCTTTATAAACTACAGCTGTTCCCTCCCATTGCAGATGGTGATTGTCTGGGTACACTGAATTTTCCTCATTGTCCTCAAAAGGCTTTTTTCCTGCTTTTGTCCACATCACAATCACATTGTACACAAAAATCTCTCAACAGTGTGTGTGTGGTTGTGTTATTTGTTGTATAATTCTTGTCAATTCATGATAACATTAATTTGCAAGAATGATAAAGAGAAGGAGCTTTAGTTGAGAATCCTAAGTTGTGAACTTTAACATATTTTTAGTCACCACTTTGGTAGCTGTCAAACATTATTTTTTTTTTTTTTAAGAGAGATTTTTGCTATAGGGCGTGTGAACCTGCTGAGAGACAGAGAGAGTGAGAAATCACCTTCTAGAAGGGATGGCCATGCTACAGTCCCTTCTCCTCCAGTCTCTTCTCAGGATTTTGGACATGCATGCACACATGCCCAGCATGAGTTTGAAGCCACCGGGTCCAGGACTCTAACCAAAGTTGACCACTTGGAGTCCAGTGCCTTAACTACTATGCCACCTGCTGGCCCCCAAACATTAACTTTACCTTTCAACTTTACCTACTCTTTCTACATTTCTAATATCTCAACTAACACACACACACACACACACACCCTACCCCCCAAAACACACACCCTCCCACCCATCCTACCCTACTGTTAAGACCAGTTTCAAATGCTAATAACCACTTTATGAGGCCTTTTCTTACCTTTTCATTTGTGTTCTTATAGAATCTTTATGAAGTTCTCTTACATAATTTCTCACACTTTATAGAAATGATGTTTTACTGTATTTGTCTCCTTCACTGAACTATGATCCCCTGAAGGACAGAGAGGATACCTTATATTTGTATCTCTAGTGCGAGTGCACAGCTTGTGTTAAATATCAGTAAATGTTTGCAGAATAAATTAAGGCAAAGAGAATAAGAATCAGATGAAGGAAATGGAGTGTTTGTTCAACTATATTTGTCCTATCCCCATTCCTGGCAAAGGAATAAAACTTATGTGCTTCATAGATAAGGAACTCAAGCTGGGTTTAGTTTGGGATCACAGTAGCCCACGAAGCAATGGGATTTAGTCAGGTAGATTGATTTGAGCGAGCAGAGAGAATTCAGTAAGCCAGTTATATCAAGCTATATGAATTAAAAGGTAGACTCCTGAAGAATTTTAAGCCAACAATTTTTGGCTTAAAACACATTTTACAACATTAAAGCTTAGAATTGGTGGCACAGATTTCAGTAACACAACTAGACAATTTTATTTAAGACTTAAATATGTTGAGAAGTTTGGTATGTAACTTTTGAATGAGAGTGAAACTCCATTTCTTCTTTCGGGACTCTGCCTTCTAAAACAACTTAGCAGTAGGACTTTGTGTGAAAATGAGGAGGATAGCCATTTAGCATCTGTTGTCAGAATTTGATGGGAGGGAAGAAAAATTCATGTTGTCACAGCATCATCAAGCAACTGGAAAAGATCTGTACTTTGAAGGGCTGAGGAATTGTAGTTTTCTCTATAGCTTGCATACTCTTCTCATGTTCCTAAATTTGAATTATTTTTGAAAGTTGGAATTGGTAGTTGTGTGGTCAGCTGTGCATTTTGTGTGGATAGTAAACCTGTCTTTTTTTTTTTTTTAACCTTATATCCTAGTTTTTAGAGCAATCCTATTTATTTCTGAGAGCCCCTCTTTTTCTGAGCCCATATTGTCAGTTTTTTGGTAGAAGTCTCAAGAAATAACAGGAATCAGGTTACAAAAGCATATGTTTTTAAATTTACATTTTGAACGTATACTTTCTGCCTCCGTCCCCCATTTTAAGTTTAAAAATTTTAGAAATTTGTGGTTGGCAGGTGGCGTAGTGGTTAAGGGTACTGGACTCCCACATGGCCATGGCCAAGCATGGTTCAAGTCCTTGACCTGGAGTCTGGCTTTCTCACTTTCCCTCTCTCTTCTCTCTTCCGTCTCTCTCTCTTTCTCTCATATCAAATTAATAAATAAATTTTTAAATTTTTTAGAAATTTACCTTTCTGGTATAGTTTCACAAAATATCCATATAGTACCAGAATCATTCAGTGAATAATACTGATACTTATTTTGGGCCTAGCTGAGTATTGTTTGATAATGTTAGAGAGGAGCCTTTAGGAAGGGACTAGCTATAAGCAAAGTATGTATTAATAGAGGTATAGATAACACATATTTTGAAAGATAGTTTTCTTACAAAATAAAATTTTCTGCCCCAAATAAACTGGTGAGTGTATTTTCCATTTAGAGGGTTTTATGTTGTTGGGGGAGGGTGTGAGGCTGTGTAACATGTAGTATTTTTGTTAGGGCAGAGGTTTGTTTTTTTTTTAAATAAGTAACCATTGGGCTTTATCTAAGGAAATGCCTGGAGCAGCCAAACAGTGATAGATCTGAACAGGGGCTTTATTAAAGATTTCTCAAAGACCAAACAATACTCATAAGTTGAAAACTTTTAAAGGATAAAAGGACTTTTAAATGTAGACAGTAAGTATATTAACATACCCAAAAGTTACTTATTAAATTTCTGAGATTTGTCATTCCTTTGTCCACATAAACATCAGAATTTTGTGTAAAAAAGTCAAAGTATTTCATGCATATTGAAGATGGACTTCTGATGATCAGAAAAGAAAAAGTTTCTAAACTGCTATAAAATGTGATTTTTAAATATGCAACAACATCTTCATGTCCTCAATGGAAAATAAAGCCACATAGTTACTACTGACTAATATTCTCAGCCCAGTTCTCAAGACCATTCCCAGGCCCTCTGTCTTCTGTTATATGCTATTCTTGTCTTAATCCTTGCATATATGAAGTTTCTCTTTTTCTGATTTCTTTTAGTTTTTTAATCACTTTATCTTAAAATGGCCTTGAAAGCCTAAAATAATATTGACTGAATTTTCAGTATTTTTCACAAACTCAAAAAAATATTCAATTAAAATGTTAAGATAGATGTACTTCTTTCCTGGGAGTCCTGTTTTTCTTTCCTGGCTTTTCAACATATAGTTCTTGTGACTTTTGGCAGGTCATTTAGTTTTTGAATTTCAGTAACCTTAGCTAGAAAAGTAAGAGGTTAGAAGTCATAACAGCATAGTAAAAACAGATAATTACATTTAGTTTATGCTATTAACTCATTTTTTTCAATAACTCATCATGATGACGTTGCTGAACACAGACGGTTGAATGAGTTGTCCAAGAGCAGTGTAAGTAGTAGAGCCAGGATTTTGAACTCATGTCATCTACCTTCAGTCCCTCAAAGTATGTGCTGTTAGAGTAGCACAGCTTTGCCGTAGTGTTTGCTATGTTAAAAACCATAACATTGAATCAGAGTTCTCTTTATGTATGAACATTCTATCATAAGCTAATGGTCCTTGATTTAAAAGAAAAGTTCCCACCTTTAATACAAACATAGTAATTAAGTGACATAAATGTGACTATAAGTGACAGAACAAATACCAAGTAATTAATTGGTTAGACCAAATAGTGATAACTAAAGTGCCTCCAAAATAGATAATGGGGCCTAGGGAAGGCCTCTAAAAAGAGCAGTGGATTTTTATGCAGAGGTGTAACTTTTTTCCCATAAAAACAATAAATGATGCTCCACTTGGAGAAAATTGTATGCACGATGTCTTGTTAGTAAGAAATATAGATGGACATAGTCGAGGTTTCTTCTAACTATAGTGAAGACCTTTAGACTAGGCTGAAGATATTTAAAAAATAAGGAAGATTTGGGTAGAAAGCCTCTAAGTACCTGGGATCATTACTTTGATTTGACAGCCTATAGAGTTGTCATACTATCATAACACATTCAGAGCAGTTAAAGATGCCTACCCTTCTCAAAGTACTCATTGCAAGGGGAAGATGCTGCTGATGGAGTTGCATTGGTAATGGCCTGGTCTAATGATATATAATGAATGAGAAAGTTTTCTGGAAAATTAGCATGGTATCAGGTTTCTAAATACATATGCCTACTTGTATTAATAGTTTATCAGTTTGACAGATCTTTGTTCTGTAGATACTTTGTGGCAGGCATTGTGCTAGGATGCTGTGGGGCGTACCAAGAAGAAAGAGATATGGGAAGACATATAATTTTAGCATAAAGTTTGGAAGGTATAAGAAAGATATAAAATATTAACTTTATATTATAAAGAAGGAGAGATAATTTTTTTTTTTTTGGAGAGATTTTTCACTGTAGGGCGCGTGTGCTCGCCAGACAGACAGAGAGAGACAGAGAGACAGAAAGCGAGAAATCACCCCCCAGGGGGGATGGTCACGCCGCAATCCCTTCTCCTCCATTCTCCTCTCCGGATCTTGGGCACGCATGCACACGCGCCCGGCGTGAGT